GATCTCTCCAAATTGGTTAGTAGAGTCAATACAATCCCAATGAAAATCCCACCAGTTTATGGGAGTGTGTGTAGGTAAGTTGAGATGCTGAAGGAACAGCATCAGCAAAAGCGCAGAGGCGTGAAGAAACATGGGGTGTACAAAGGAATTCAGATAGTGCAGTTTTCCAGAGATGAGGTTGGAGAGATTAAGTGAGTGCAAGGACTTAGAGGGCAGTTGGACTGTTTTTTGTTTGTTTGTTTGTTTTTCTGATTGTGATGGAAAGAATTTTAAGAAGGATGTAATCAGGTTGAGTTTACTTTTTTTTCTTTTTTCTTTTTTTTTGAGACAGGGTCTCACTCTGTTGCCTGGGCTTGAGTGCAGTGGCGTCATCATAGCTCACTGCAACCTGAAAATGCTGGGCTCAAGTGATCTTCTGGCGTTAGCCTCCTGAGCAGCTGAGACTACGGGCACACACCACCACACCCAGCTAATTTTTCTATTCTTTGTAGAAACAGGGTCTTGCTATGTTGCTCAGGCTGGTCTTGAACTCCTGGCCCCAACTGGTCCTCCCATCTCTTGGCCTTCCACAGTGCTGGGATTACAGGTGTTAGCCACAGTGAATGGCTTGGGTTTCCATTTTATATAGATCACTGTGGCTTACCTTTTACTTGCTCTGATCTGTATTATGGGTAATTACATTTTCCAAGCTCCCTTGTACTGTGACTTCCAGGTAGGTTTAGCCAATGGAGGAGACAGGTAGAAGACTGGAAGGCTGGAGGAAACAAGCAGCCTGGGTATACACATTTGCTTCTCCCTTCGGCATATTCCCCATCCCACCCCACCCTGTTTCCTTTCTGTGGTATCATCTGTGGCAGTTACATGTCTTCTAGCTTCCAACTCTCTCCAGACTGCCCTGCTATGGATCTATATCCTCCTGCTGATCCCAGGCTTCCAGGTTCTGACAACACTACCTCCTCCCACTGTTCTTCCAGTCCTAGGAGTGGTAGGTGCTGCTTCTACTTTTGCTGACCTGTAAACAAGGTGGTTTATTACTCCTTATTTGATTTTTCAGCTTTTTCCTTTCCTTTGTAATGTGATCTCTGTTTGAAAGCCAGAGTTGCTCCTTTTTTTCTGGCTGGACCACAATTGATAGAAAGGGTTAAGTTGGAGATATGAAAATTAATTAGGAAACCACTGTGACAGTTCAAGGGAGGAATCCTGAGGACTTGACCTGAAGCAGTGGTAGCAGGGATAGAGCAAGCATATGTAGTTAATAATCATTTGGAAGTAAAATTGATAGGACTTGTTCATTGACTGGATATGGTGGTGAGAGAGAGGAGGACGAGAAAGAGGAGGAATCTAGGATAGCTCCTGGTTCTAAGTGACTGGGTGGATTGTGCTTTTATCAGCTAAGATCAAAATAGAGAAGGCACAATAGGAGGAAAAGCAGTAAGGGAGAAACCAATGAGTATGTGTTTGAGTGTGTTGAGGGCCTGGGGGTCGGGAGGTGGCACCCAAGTGGATATAAATCGGAAGTTCAGGACAAAGATCTGGGCTGAATGTAGAGATTTCAGAGTCATCAATGTGTGCATTATAGTTAAAGCCAGGACAGTGGATTAAGACCATGCCAGGAAAACAGAGTAGTGGAGAAGAAGCATGCTTAATTTTTAATATTAAAAGCCAATCAGTCAAAACAAACGCTGCCTTGACCAGGCACCTGCATTTAGATCACACTCACCTCTATGACTAGGCTCCTCTAAGGAGTGGCTTACTTCGCCTGCCTCTACTTATCCACTACACATTCATTCTTTTTTTTTTTTTTTTTTTTTTGAGACAGAGTCTCACTCTGTTGCCTGGGTTAGTGTGCTGTGGCGTCAGCCTAGCTCACAGCAACCTCAAACTCCTGGGCTCAAGCCATCCTCCTGCCTCAGCCTCCCGAGTATCTGGGACTACAGGCATGTGCCACCATGCCCGGCTAATTTTTTGTATATATTTTTAGTAGTCCACTTAATTTCTTTCTATTTTTGGTAGAGACAGGGTCTCGCTCTTGCTCAGGCTGGTCTCAAACTCCTGAGCTCAAACAATCCGCCCGCCTCGGCCTCCCAGAGAGCTAGGATTACAGGTGTGAGCCACCACGCCCGGCCTCATTCTTTTTTAATACAATGCGATTAGGCATCTGCCCACTTCATCATCTTTAGTCCTCGAAGCTGTGACTGTGCCATATTAGGTCTCTCCTAATAGGTAGGTCCTAGTGACAACCTTTAGGCTTTGTACTTGGCCTTTCGTATGGCTCTTTTTATTTATTTATTTTTTATTTTTTATTTTTTTTGCTCTCTCAACCCTGCTTTTCCTGACTCCAGGAAGAACCAGGAAGAGAAGGACTTGTATGGCTCTTGACACTATTAACCATTTCTTTCTTGAATTCCTCTTTCTTCATTTATTTGGTAATATCAGACTCACCTTGTTCTCCTATTCTTCCTCTTTTCCTCTTGCCTGTCTATTTAATCCATGTAATCTACAGTCCTCTTGGCTCCTCATTCTACATTCTTTTCCAGGACTTTGTCCTGCCCTTTCATGGTACTAACTGCTGATCTCTCCCAGCTCTGTATCTCTACTTCAGACATCTGTCCCAAGCTCTAGAACCATACTCTCCCTGCTGCCCTAAAAAGTCCCCAGGCAACTCAAATTTGGTATAGTCAATTTTTTTCTGTTAATCCTCCTGTATTTCACAACTTGATTATTTTACAGTGTAGTCACTTTAACCCAGGAAGGAGAGTCAACAGGTACCTTATTCCTTTACCTACATGTTGAATTGGTCTTTAAGCCTTAAGTCATATCTGATCCCTGAACATTGTGTCCCTCCCTGCTGGTTCAGGTGTTCAGCATTTCCCCCTATACTACTGATCATGTCACATCCATGCTTTAGCCTTCAGTGCCTGCCCATTGCCTGGGATTAGATCTGAAGAACTTTGTATGGCTCAGAAAACTGACCTCTGCATATCTCGTTAAGTTTTTCTCCCTTCCAGTCCAATTTTCTAGGCATGTTTTTCCATGTTTCTCTTTCTACACATGTATCTGCCTATACATGTACAAGCTACTCACATTTATGTGCCTGGAGAGCTAATATTTAGCCTTCAGTCCCAGTCCTCTGGGGCTCATTCACACCACCCCTCCTTCATAGACTTGCATGTGTCTCCCCTTCAGCGCCCCAACTCTTCCATATATCTGGATACATATGTCCATTCCTATTATAGCAGGCAGCACATCTTATGGCAAGACTATTGATTTTCCTGCCTCCTCTTGTGGCTTGTTGACTGCTTCATGGTAGAGACTATATTTTATTTATATTTGCTTTTTCATTTTTCAACAAAATGCCTGACACACAGAAGATATTTGACGAATCAGGACAAATGATCAATAGATATTTGATGAATCAGGATAAATGAACAAGGGCACAGCATCATTGTAGGAACAGACCTGTCACATGGCCTTTCCTCCTGTGTCCATGCATATGAAGGTGACCCTTTAGTGTGAATCTGTAGGGTAGAGTTGATTGATTGATTCACTTATTAAACATTTGTAGGGTACCTGGTAGGTTTCAAGCATTGAGGAGATATACAGACTAACATCCACTGTGTCTTTGAGAAAATTACTCTTCTGGTACAGCAAGCAGCCATCTTACGTTTTGGTTAGTCATTCCTACCGATGAACGTAGAGTAAGTAGAATGAAGAGCAGTTAAGGCTAAAGGCACACACACAACGATGAGGCTTTTGCTGTAACCCAGTGGCCTTTATGTCCTGGACCCTCTCCTCGGAATGGCCCTCTGCTTATCTTCTTTCAGCATGGGAAGGCTGGCATGCCCTTACTGGGCCCGACTAAGGAAGCCAAGAGTGAATGCTGCTGCGGACCAGAACATGGCCAGGGCACAGGCAGGCACACATATCAGAGAAGCGCGATGTGTTTGGGACAGACCAGGTAAGCACAATGCAGGAAAGGCATGTTTGGGGATCGTGGAACCTAATCTTTGCTCTTCCCCAAGGTCCTAACTCACACAGGGCTCCCTCTGCCTATCCCAAAGGAAGACAACTTCCCTTTTATCTCCTCCTTTTCCAAAACCTGCTCTCAAAAGAGAATCTTAAGTCTATCTACTGTAAATGATAAAATATAGAATAGATTAAAGATCATTAATGTCTTTTTCTAGTGGATCTTCCTATCTAGACCGCACAGAAAGACTTAGATTAACATTATAAACAGTCAATTAATGCCTGGGATTAAGTGCTAGAAAATGGATAAAAAGACAAGGAGCCTAACCGAGGCTCCTGAACTTATACCAGGAAGGCAGTTATCTTCTTGATCCACCAAGTTGGACAACAAGGGGGCGAAGGAGAAAAAGTCAGGGAGGACAAAAGGTCGGTGCCAAAGGATTAGGCAGAGCTTAGACTAATAGAACGTCTGAGGTCGGCCCTTAATTAAGGAGAATGAAGGTGTACGGGCAGTGCTCAGGAGAATAAATTACTTTGAATGCTGTGTGACAGGACCTTGAGTTTTGTAAATCTTTTGGTGCAGAAAAGACCAAGGCCGAGGAACATGTCCGGGTCAGTCCCTTCTGCAAGAGGACGCCCTTAATTTTTAAGCCGTTCACGCCCCTTTAGAAAGAGAAGGGGAAGGGGAGAGGGCAGAGGCAAAAGAAGAGAAGCTGGAGAGACTCAAAGCAATCCCTCTCGGCCCCCAGCGAAGGCCGGCGGAGGGGCGCGGGCGGGCGCTGGGCGGAGCCTCGCGAGCATCCTCCGAGCAGCCGCCCCTGAGCACGCTGGGAAAATCCTTCCTCCCTCGGACATGGCGCCCACCCGCCCGGCGGCAGCAGCCGGCTCCGGCGCCGCGGTGCGCGGGTCCGGGCAGAGAAGCGGCTCCAGCTTCAGTCGTGGGGTGGAAGGAGGCGGCGGGGACGGCGGGGGCGGCGGCGGCGGCGGGGGCGCCGCCTGGGGGCGCGAGTGTTAGACCTGAGGGCGCCGGGGGACCCGGGGCGCCGCCGGGATGGTGTCCCAGGTGCTGCAGCTGCTCCGGCAGGGCGTGTGGGCCGCGCTCACGGGGGGCTGGTACCACGACCCGGAGCAGAGCAAGTTCACCAACAGCTGCCACCTCTACCTGTGGCTGTTCCTGCTGCTGCTGCCCCTGGCCCTGCACCTGGTGAGTGGGGAGGAGGGTGAAGCCCCGGGGAGCTGTGGGGTGGAGGGAAGAAGGAGAAAGGAACCCTACAGACTTGAGGTCAGCCTCAGGATGGAAAGGGTTGGTAATGATTCCTAAGAGGTTGAGGGAGAAAGGCTTCAGGAATTTGGGACAGAACCTGCAGGGGAAGAGGGCACTGAGGATTCACTGGAAAAGAAAGAAGTAGAAAGGACTTTGGGAGCTCTGGGACTCATTAAGAATTGATGCCGGATGTTAGGATGAGTCAGACTCCGGTTGTCGCTGGGGAATGTTGCTTGAACCTATTTTGTAGGTGGACAACCCTAGGCCTCCTGGCTGGTTAGCTTGGGATAATGTTTGGTATAAAAATATTGTAGGTGATAGCCAAAAGGCAAAGCAAAATGTTAAAAAGCAAACCTATTTTAGGTGTTGATCTTTTTCCCTCTTGCCTCCCTTCTTATTTTGCTTTGAGAAGGCAGGTTCATTTATCAATTACTTACTTTGCAATTTTCACACCGTTATGTATGGAAATCTGTAGGAAGATAACAATAACGGATAAATCTAATGTACTTTATGCTAAACAAAGTATTGCAGCATCTAGTTGGGGTGTGACATTTTATGTAGAGTGCTTACTGAATGACTATATGACCTTCTGAGGTAAATTATACCTAATCGAAACTGTGGTTAACCTTATTTGAAAAGCTGTACAGGTAAAGTGCTCCATGACTTGTTAAACTTTATGTGCCAAGAATCTAGTTTTGATATGTCTGTTGATGGACTTTATTCCTAAAACATTATTTGTGCTCCACAGCAAAACTCTTCAATGAGTTTGCATGGCTGATGGATTCTGAGTTTGACATTTGTGATTGTCCAGGATTTGGTGCTATTTTACTCTCTTTTTGGCAGTTTAGCCAAAGGGTCAGAAGTCAGGCTGCCTGAGTTAAATTTTGGGTCCACCCCTTACCAGTGCTGTGACCTTGGGGAAATCATATCTGATTTTTCATTTTCTTATCTGTAAAATGATAAAAATAATAGTACCAGATTTACAAGATTGTTTTGGAGGTTAAATGAGATGATACTTATAAAGCCATATGTCTGGCTTGACCTGGGATTAGACTCAGACCCAGGTTTACAGTTCTATTCTGCTCCTTATTAGCTGTTTGGCTTGATATTGGACTTTTCTAAATCTTAGCTTTCTTATTGTTAAAAATGGAGGTGATAGAACACAAACAGACCTGGGTTCAAATTATGGTTCTGCTGCTTCTTAGTGTGTGAGTTTGAGAAAGCTTCAGCTTCCATGTGTGTAAAGGAAGGATAATTAGAGTATTTTCCTTGTAGGGTGAATAGGAGGACTGGATAAATTAGTAGATTTAAGTACTTCTCAGTGCTTGGCATATAGAAAGTGCTCAGTAAAAATTAGCCTTTCCCCCCCCAGCCTCATCTTCCCAAATCTCTCCATTCTTCAAAACCCAGTGGAATGACCATCTCTGTCTAGGCTTCCTGATTCCATTTAGCTATAATTAACTTCTCTTCTCCCTTCCCCTTATACCATTCTGTATTTACTATTGGTATTATAATATTCTATAGTCAGTATTATATAGCACTTTTGATTTCTGCTTTGTACTTAGTTGTTGGAACATGCATTTGACTTCTTCCCCAAATCATGAGCTTTTTGAGGATGCGGATTTTTATTTTGTTTGTTCATCTTGGTTTTCCTTGTTGTACCTAGCAGAGTGCCTGGCATTTGGTTAACTTTGATTTCATGTATAATAAACTAGGATGTCTCTTTCTGTTTCAACCAGTATCACATCATCTACCTTACTACACATTTTGAATGTTTCCTGATAATGAAAACAATATATACACCACTTGTAATCCCACTCTTTAGCAACGAGCACATTAACATTTAATGTATGTTTCTATAGATATTTTTTCTTTGCATATGGGCTTATTTTTACAAAACTCTGCGTGAGATTTGATGTGTACGTGTGATCAGAATCCTTAATTCCTACCTAATTATGTTTTATTGAGTAGCTTGATTTCTGTCTTACATTTGTAAATAGGAAATCGTCCTCAGTTTACTTTCTCTTTAGTGATATTTAAACATAATTTTTGGCTAAATCTGAAGACTTTGGAAAGTGAAAAACTAATATCTTAAATAATTTTACTCTCATATTGGACTTTTTTTAAAAGTCAAAACAGATATACCAAAATTTTTATATCTCTATGCCAGTGTGCCTTTAACTTTTATAGAATAATTATATGTGGGTGCATTTATTATTATGCTACTTTTTCATCTATAGCTTGTCTTATTAAAAAAATGACAAGTTATTCTTTTTTTTGCTCTGGTCTCTGAAAGTGCCCTTAGAAATAAAAGGCCTACTCCCCCAACTAAGGCTTCTGTTCTCTAGGTCTTCATGTTTAAATATATTCCTCTGCACTTCAGTGTTGTCTGTGATTATTAATATATTTTTCATTTTGTTTCACTAACAGGAACTTGGTCCAAAAAAGATACTTACTGCTCACTCATGGAAGGAGCTTATTCAACGTTCTGTTATTTAACATGTCCTGAGCTTTTCCGGTTTCTGCACAATTTCAGTTTAAATATGTTTAATCGAGAAAGTTTCAGTGTTGGAAGGATCCACTTTTTAGTTTAACAGATACCTTGAATATTTAAATAAAAATTTTTATTATTAATTATTGAGACAAACTTATTTCTAAGCCCTGGAGTTTACTTACATCTGGGTGACAGTGTGAAAAGTAGTTACTTACTGGCATTTATAAACTATATATTTATGAGAAATGTCAGAAATGTGCAACTAAAAACTGTAAGCCAATTTGGATACTTTGGGAAGAGTTTTACTTTGATTCCTTATTAACCTAATTTTCTTTTGGACACACCAAAGGATGATTTGTCTTGAGAGATATTTAAACTTTCATTTATTATACGTGTTTTGTCTTTGTCTATTTGAGATGACAACTAATGGAAAGTCAGGGTAGAGCTTTACAACAGGAGCACGTGAGCATGATTCTGGCCTCGTATAAGTTGTGGGAGCACTAGCCTCATGTCAAAAGACATTATTCCTGTTTTTCCTCTTATCAATTGTGTGATCTTGTGCAAGTCATCTCACTTCTCCAGACCTCAGTTGTATCATCTGTAAAATGGGGATAACCACTTTCATTTTGTAGGTTTAGCAATTGAGGTCCACAGAGAGTAGGATACTTGCCCAAGGTCATCTAGATAGTAAGGGATAAAATTCAGAATTTTAGCAAGGTCTTGTCATATCCGAGTCTTTGGCCTTTCCATGACACTGTGCTGCCTGATTTGGTACACATAAGAGCAGTTTGAACTCTGTGAAACAGTAGACCCACATAAAGTGCAATTATGCTTAAGCCCATGACATTATGGTCGGCTCCAGTAGAGAAGAAGAGGTGAGTCGTGGAAACAATAGGCTTGAAACTTCACGTCCTTCACGATCCCATGCAGGGCAATATTATGTATGATTTTTCAGGTCTGACAAATACTGTTAGGATGGGCAGCTCTTTCCTCCCTTGCTGATAGAAAGCTTGTCTTTTGTTTTCTGTCTGTAGCTTTGTGTTTCCTTTCCTTTCCTTTCCTTTCATTTTAGCCAGACATGCTCTGTTTCCGCTTCTACTTTTCAAAATTTAGCCTTAGAGACTTTCTTTGACAAGAACACATCATTTCTAATTGCTATAATTCTAATTAAATGGGATTATCTATCAAGTGCTAGCATGGCACTAGGCAAACAGTAAGCAGTCAACACATACTAGCTGCTATTATTACAGCTAGTTGGTGACTTTTCTATTATAGTCTGTAGCCACTTCCTGTTTGGGTACATCATTATCTTTCCTTAGATCTTGCATTTCTTTTCTTTCTTTTTTTGAACAATGTTTTCCAAATACTTTATTATGAAAAATTTAAAACATACTGAAATCATTTTACCTTGTGCAGCCATATAACCACCATTTGGATTCTGCCCCATTAACATTTTATTGTACTTGCTTTATCACATATCTATCCATTTGTCCATCCTTCTATTGATCTCTCATCCCACTTTATTTTCTTGAGGCGTATCAAAATAAACTGCATGCATCAGTCCCTTTCTTCCTAAATACTTCACCCTGCACAATAAATAACATTTTGGCAGGGCACAGTGGCTCATGCCTATAATCCCAGTGTTTTGGGAGGCCAAGGTGGGAGGATCACTTGAGGCCACTTGAGGCCAGGCTGTGAGATCAGCCTGAGCAAGAGTGAGACCCCATCTCTGCAAAAAAATAAGAAAAATTAGCCAAGTGTAATGGCACATGCCTGTGATCCTAGCTAATTGGGAGGCTGAGGGAGGAGGATCACTTGAGCCCCCCAGCAGTTCTAGGCTGCAGTGGGCTATGATTGCACCACTGCACTCCAGTCTGAGCAACAGAGTGAAATGCTGTCTTTAAAATAAATAAATAGATAAATAAATAAATAAATGACATTTTGATAGAAATTTGAATACAATACATTTTAAAGAAAGTTGCCATGGGAGCTCTGGTTATGGCGGCACTTACTAGGTGTCTTGGATCACGCTCCCCTCTCCATCACACCCCTGATCCAGGAAACAGGGTTTCCTGAGGTCTAAGCAATGAAGGTGCAACTGGATGTCAAGGTTTGTGACGAGGATCTTAAGGTCTTGCGTTTCTTTGACCACCCTTCCTTCTGCCCCCACTTCTAACATATAAGATGCCTTTGTGTAAATTATGGTAAGGTGGTCTGCCCGAAGAGGTATACTTCTTCTTGGTCATTTAACCGTGTCAGCCGGAGGTCAGCATCCCGCACAGCCTTTCACAGCAGACCTGGCCCATTCCACTTGACTGTTGTTATTTTGCTGGACTGCTTGGCATGTTGCTGTTCCCAAAAGGTTACCTCTCATCTTGATCAGTCCTAGCATTCATGTTCACTTTCTTTGTAGGAAAGGCTTTCTCTGATATTGAATCACATGGAC